TTTCACGTCTCCTTTAAATCTTGCAGGAGAAAATTCACCGTAGTTTTGAATTGGTGCATAAGACGGAGGGCTTCTATAAGACCATTGATGAGCTATGGGACGGTGAAATTTGAGAAACTTCATCTGACGTTAGGGACGTCAAATTACACTATGTTTCTTATAATCTTTCATGTTTGTTCTCAGTTGAAAACACTAATACATGAACTCATTTAGGTTCTTGGAGTAGAGGAATGCTAAATTGACGTGTAGTTTTCGATCCTATTCGTTTCCAATATTATCTTTTTGCTTCAGCTGGTGTGTAATCTGTTTTGAGAATTTTCTTCATTTATTTTGCAATATAAAAATAATATTTTCCTCCAATTTATTCTCTTCGAATTAAGGGAATGAAAAGTTACGTCGTTGATTATGAATTCGGCTTGGCGCAAGATATGCGTAGAACAAAAATAGGTGATTGTTGCTAATGTTTGGGTTTTATTTTGATGCATATGCGGGTAAGATCAAGATATCATTTCGGCATGTTGTGACCTACTCGTGAGCTCTTACTTGCATATATACACGGTGAACATGTGTAGACATTGAAAATCAAGTTTAGCAAATTATTCTTGCAGATGGAGAAGTTGATTATATCATAATTGTATACAGTTTTAGATATTTGTATATACGTATATTTAAGCTATAGCTGATTGATTAGTTTCTATTTCCTGTTAATCTCCATTATAACGTTAGTCGTAAAGGTACATTAGTTTTCTCACACAAACATTCTATCGAAAATACTCAAAACTTTGGGTCTTTGTTGTTACGTCAGCAGGATTTGCTTTAAAAGCTATCAGGATTTTGTTACTTCAGCTTTTATTTTCTTTACTTTATCAAATTATATATACAAAAATATCATAAATACTACAAAGATCAACATATATGAGAATTACAATTTGTTAATTGGCTCTTGGGCTGTTTTTAATATACTTTTTACTTTTTAGGGTATCATTTTTGCAATCATTATGTAAGTAACTTTTTTTTTGATGAAATCCAAAAAGTTAAACGAAACAGTATACGTTGGCTATATATGAAAAACTAGTATTATGAAAATATTTTTTTCAATAGTATTTCTGAAAATATCTGTTTCAATAGTATTTCTCAAGATCTTAAAAGAAATCTACAAATATTATAACTAACATATTTTTTACAAAATTTCTGAAAAATTCCAAGTTAGTCTTATAGGTTTTAAAATCTCATAGTATTTGTCAGCAAATGCAAGTTGTTGAAAGATTAGGAATCCCAGGATGTACCTCCACTCCTTGTGTAACCTAATGAAAAGTTTTCAGAATTGCGGTAAGAGAAGATGGTTGACATATTATGCAATAACAATTTGATATGTAATTTTGAAGACAACAATTACCAACGTTTATAAAAAGGTCTAGTCTCCAGTAGACCTCTTCAAACCAGGTTCTAATTGCTCCATGTCTGTGATGGAGTATTTTATCTTTGACATGCTGGACCACCGCAAATAGCTCTATTTGCTAAACGCTGAAAATTTCTTGAAAATTTTCTGGTGCAAAAACTTTAATGAACATTGATCAACCACTGGCTCGAGGGGCTTCCACTACTCCGATATCTTTTGCAACCTTTTCTATATGTTTTCTTTAATTTATATAGTACGTTAATACAAATTTTCCTTTATTATTAACATGATAGGTCTCAAAAACTTAAGAACACGTACAACAACACACTTTTTAAAGCAAATTTCACATTCCTCGATTCATTAGACAGTAAGACTTTTAAACATAAAAATAAGAAGTAACGATACTAACAAGAAAACATAATGTGACAATGGAAACATGCGAATAATGCTCTTTAAATCAAGAAAAAACTGACTCTCTCTTTTATAATTACTAAAACAGTAAACACGACAATTTTTTCTATTTTAACCAATCCTTGCTGGTTCAATATTTTTATTTGGATTCGGTTTTCTCCCTTGAACCAGTAAAATCCTATCAACACTCACATTCTCCGAGAGAAACTTGTCCTCATGGTTCCATCACTAATCATTCTTCGAGACCAACACTTTCGATATTCTCTCCTTGTCGCTTCTTCCTCTTCTCTGTTCTTGTTGTATTCTCTTTTCTTTTATTTCTTTGTGTCGTGTTCTTCTTCCTTCCTCTATCATAGCAGATATATGGGATTTGTCGTCAGTCTCCACTGAATTTTTCTTGCTAGTACTCTACCACATTCTCTCAAAAGTTGAACTCTTTCATGATTGAAAGATCATTTCCCGTTGCCAGCTCTACTAGCCGATTGACGGATGCTATTAGGTGTTGGAATTGGTATTTTGATGTCGTGTGTGGTGAGGGTGTGTCAAGTTTTATCCTAAATGAAATCAATAGTCGCAAGTGCACAGCTGATCGATTGTAGTACTTAGGGATTGAATCTACAGGGAAGGAGGATTTTTCCTGCAAAAGCCTTGGAAAGAAATATGAAGTAAGGAATTCTAGAACTAGGCGATTTTTGTAGGGGTTTTTGTGGTGTCTTTAAAACGTAAAAACTAGTCTTAATGGAAAATACGAGAATTAAAATGACCTAATAACTAAACTTAATGAAATCGATTAAAAACGAGAAAACGGCTAGACCTAAATTGCTTTGAATAAAAATCGGCTGGGATAAATGAAAAACAACCTAATAACTAAAACTTGTATTGAAATTGATGAAAACTTATAAAGACGAGATGCTGGGTTTTCAGGGAAATTCTCTCCGGGGATGAACGATTCAAAACATTGCTTAAAGAGTAAATTAAAAAGATCCAGCTAAAAATTTTAGAACTCGAGTCATGAACATATGAATACGCCACTGTCGTGATCATAACCAACTATCTTTCTCAACCCTGACCAGTAGGTTTCCACTCTGGCCCTGGAAAAGAAAAGATGTGATATGCTTAAGAGTCATCAATATTCACAGCTCTCCCATAGGTAGATTTCCACTCCTATGGTCAATTTGCTCTTCTCGAACTAGATCTGGCCTCGAATGAAAACTTTCGCAACACCCAAAACCTAGATCAGATTGTATTTCATGATGCTGCTCCGATGCATTATAAATGAGTTTAGAAGATAAAATTCTAGGATTCGGCTTAATCCTCATCGAACATATATAACCCCCATCGAATATCCCTTAAACCCAACAATAAAACTATTCAGACATCATGAACGAAAGCAAAGACATAGTATTAATAAGTAGAATAGAAATCAAAAATAACAGACAAACAAAAAGGGTTCAAGAGATAGATCTCTCTCTCCATAAACTTAAAACAACAGCTTAAAGTTGTATATTTTTCTAAAGTATTTCGTCTCTCTCTAAAAACGACCTAAATGATAAGTATTTATAGTTTCCAATGCTTCATGGTCTCTAGGGTGCCGGAATTGAGGCTGAAAAAATTACTTGGGTTTCAGAAATGGGCCTTCTAGATCGGAGATGGCTGGGCGCAGTCGGATTGGACGTGGTCGCGGTGAATGAATGCTTGGCCGCTGTCGTATAGCCTCTAACCGTGGTAAACAGGCTGTTGGCCAAGTTAAAAATACTTTTTTTTTGTTTTGTAAACTCAGAGAAACTTTTAGAGCATACACATATTTTTTTATTCTTAACCAGAATGAGACTGAAAAGAATTGGAGCTAACACTTGAGCTTCGGCCAGTGCTGAGCGTAACACCATCTCCATCGCAAGGCTCTTAGCAGAGTTCTTAGTGATTTTTTATTAAAATAAATAAAAAACATTAATAAGTCAAGAATCAAGGGCTTAAAACTCTTGTATATGAACCGTCTTTGAAGTAATTCTTAACACACATGGTCTCATTATATTGGTTTGGTTGAAGGAAAAAAATGTGGAAGGAAAAAAAAAAGTTGAAGAGAAAGAAACGAAAAAAATGGAAAAGAGAAAAAAAAAATATTATTTAAAAATAGATAAGAATCCCATGAGGGGTTCACCAATGGAGATGCTCTAAAAGTCTCCAAAACCTTTTGAATCTTCATGCTCATTGCATTGTCAATGCTTCTAGAAGACAATTTCTTGTGAGATTTCTGGAGATGAAGCTTCAGAGAATTGCTGTTTAGATCTGCGTTCTTACCACAAACCGGACACACTTTCATAGTCTGTTTCCTCTGTCTCCACTTTCATAGTCTGTTTCCTCTGTCTCCACTCCATTGATGCCTTTCTGTGACATTTCTTATCTAGGTTAAGCAAGATCCGGGCACATCCATCGTTATGTTGAGCTCGTCTATGAACTTTTCTCAGTTTGCTCTATGCTTCTAAAAGTATCAGGTTCCTGTTTATTAATTCCACCCCAATAAACAAGTGCAGTAAACAAGTGAGACTAAAAATAAATTATTTTCTTATATGGTTAAAATTTGCGTCTGAGTATGTGGGGGGTATCTATCTAGTTTAAAATAAGACTAAAAAAAAAAATTCTTTTACAAAAAAGAAAGTGTTATTCAAATGTTTTAATTACATAAAAAAAAGAAAAAATATTGATAATAGAAGAAATCGAACGTGCTGATCCAAAATGAAAACATATAAAATTTGACTAGAAACTAAATGAAAATGTTGATAAGATAATTAAAATCGTTTTTACAATGCATGCATGTACTTGATATCTATTTGGTAAGAGAATCAGACTGAAAGAGGTAGGTCAAATGATATCAGACCAGTGCCCTTCTTTCATTTGTATATAAAAAGGTAACGTTCCTTAATCTTACAAGAGTCGCCGCCACCATTTCTCCAAGATTCTTCACTTATCCCTCCTCGTCGTTTCAGGGTATGGCTTTATACTCTTTTGATACCTTACTTGTGTGAGATTGCAAGATCTATGCATGTGTAGTTATTTTTTTTGAAAATATGTTAAATTATATTAAAAAAAACTGTTTTCTTTACAAATCTTCTCAAAGAAAGAATGTAAGAAATATGTTTGCAGGCAAGATTAACAAATTATTAAGGGCTTTTGTGGAAGCTTTTTTGTGCCATCAGCTCCTTGAACCGAACCATATCTGCAGACCATCGCTGAAGCGTAAATCCCCAGCCATTCGCATTGAGCTCAATCGATTCCGGAGTGCTTTGTCAAGAGTGGCAATCAGACTCTGAGCTGGTTTCGGGACTTCACCATGCCGTCTACTGTTTCGTTCTCTCCAGACCAAATGCAAGGTAGCTTGGAATGCATATCGCACGAGGAAAAGTGTTGTGCCATCCAGCCTGTTCGTCGATAGTAATGCCACGATCTCATTCCACCTGTTTGTGTACTTGTCATTTAGCAACCGCTCAGTCAGATTTCTCCATATCTGGTGCGTGAAGCTACACTCAAAAAACAGGTGCACTTTTGTTTCCATCGGCTCAGAGCAGAGTGTACACCCAGTCCAAATCCCCGGATTCCAAAGCCTCAATCGATCACCTGTGCTCAACCGATCCTTCATTGCCAACCATGAGAGAAAAGCATATTTGGGTGTAGCATTGGAAAACCAGATAACGCTGGTCCAAGACTGTCTAGGCAAATGATGTCTGATATTATGCCATGTCGATTTCGATGAGAAAACAGGCCCAAAAGTACCATTGCGCAGTTTCCAGAGGGATTGGTCTGCGTTATCGTTTTGGCCCCTATGAGCTTCCGCAATAGCCTCTTCAATGCAGTTAAGCACTTCCCGCCTATGATTCCTTCTCCGATGAGACCGCCACACAGATGCCAAAGTAGCATCCTCCGGAATACCAAGCTGAATAATCCCATGAGCACCCGTTATGTCAATAAGACACCCCAATGGACTCCAGACATCATACCAGAATGAAGTATCTTCTCCATTATTGACCTTCATCTGATGAAAACTCCGAGCTCTGTTCCGTATTTTCAGCATTCTTTTCCAAATCCATGAGCCTGTTGAGGGCGATTCATTCGCCGACCAGTAGGAAGAACCCCGAAGCAAATACTCCCTAATCCATGTCACCCAGAGAGAGGATTTTCCAGAGAGCAATCTGCTGCTCTACATACACATCTTCATTCAACTCTCCATGTAGAAAGGCACTTTTAACATCTAGTTGCAGCACGCTCCATCCCCTTTCCATCCATGAAACCTTCGCCTGTCTAGTGCTGAGACGTGGACCAGACCATAAGAATGCTCCACATATCGAATCTATCTCATCAATACAGGATCGTGGAGGTGAAACGCAGATAACCAAAAATTCGTCAAGCCAGATATCACTGAAATCAGCAATTGTCGACGCCCAGCATAAGAAAGATGCCTTGCCGTCCATGAGCCTATCCGCGAGCGAATACTCTCTACAAGTGGGGCATAATCAGCTCGAGCCATTTTATTCGTCATCAATGGGAGACCCAAATAGCGCACCGGAAGAGCTCCCACCGTAAAGGGGAATCGTTCCACAATTGCAGTTCGATTCGATTCCGTGATACCCGCCATGAATATAGTCGATTTTGCTAAACTAATTTTCAGCCCCGAAGCAGAAGCAAAAGCATCAAACGCATCAACAATTCCCTCAAGAGATCTCATTTTCCCATCTCAGAAGACCATAAGATTATCCGTGAAACATAAATGAGTGAGTTTTAGTCTAGAACAGCTCTTATGATAGCCAAATCGATTCTCTGCGGCTGCACGATCCAGCATCTTAGAAAGGACGTTCATACATAAGACGAAGAGATATGGAGATAAAGCACACCCTTGCCGTAATCCCCGATAACTCTGAAAGTAGCCAACTAGTTCACCGTTTACTTGAACAGAGAAAGAAGCAGACGTAATACATAGACGAATCCAGTTAATAAAAGCTGCAGGAATACCCAGCGCTGCAAGAACGTTGAGCAGGAAACTCCATTGCACCGTGTCAAACGCTTTAGCGATATCTATCATCATTGCACAACGAGAGGGACCCGTGTCTTTATGGTAATCCTGAACAATTTCTGAGGCCAGAAGAACATTTTCAACCAACAAACGATCTTTTATAAAAGCTGACTGATTCGGTGCGATAATTCCTGGCAGAATGTTCTTTAATCTGTTCGCAAGGATTTTAGATATTATCTTATACAGAACATTGCAACACGAAATAGGCCGATAATCCTTCATCTCTCTAGCATCTTTCTTTTTCGGTATCAAAGCCAAAATGGTGGAGTTAACACCTTTTGGCAGGATCCCGAATCGAAAGAAGGATTGCACCGCAACCGTAACATCTGAACCAATTGCCGACCATGTGCTCTTGAAAAATTCTGTAGTGAAACCATCCGGTCCTGGTGATTTATTGTTCGGCATGGAAAACAGCACTTTAGATACCTCTTCAGTGGTGACTTCGCGCACAAGTAAATCGCAATCAGCTGTGGAGCATTTAGATCCCAATAGTGCTTCCAAGATGTCTATGTCCGCACCTTGGAAATCAGATGGAACATGAGAAAGAAATTCTCTGAAATATCTTTCAGCTTCGGCCTTAATGTCTATTGGTTCCCGCAAAACAACACCATCCCCATTGATAATCTCACGAATCGTATTTTGCGACTCCCTTACTCGAACTGCCCTGTGGAACACCTTATTGCTTTTGTCACCAACATTTAGCCAATGCAATTTGGATTTTTGTTTTAGATAACCCTCCTCGAGCTCGTAAAGGTGCTCCCATCGGGTTAGAGCTGCTGACTCGGCCTCTAGGTTCCCCACTGATGGATTTAGAGCATTTTCCTCTTGTTTAGCGCATAAGTCCTCAAAAGCCTCCTTTGTGCGCTTAGATAGGCGCCAAATTTCTTCTTTGAAAACTCCCGTAGCTTTGGCTTCATGTCCTTTAACTGTTTTGTCAGCCTATGGAGAGCTGACGTCGAGTGAAAAAGGGTGGCCGAGTTCTTCCACTGTTCCTCCACCACTGGAATAAACTCAGGCATTGTCGATAAAGAGTTGAGAAACTTAAAAGGCTTCTTAATGCTTGGCCTTCGAGCATCCAGATACACCCGCCCTCTGAGATGATCAGAACAGCCTCCAGCCTCAAACACACAGTAAGATTGTGGACTGTTCAATAGCCATTCCTCATTGATTAAAATCCGATCCAGCTTCTTATGTATCAAACCTTCCTTCCGTTTGTTATTCCATGTGAACCAAGGCCCATGGAACCCCATGTCCGATAGGGAACAATGTCGAACTGTGCTCTGAAAATCGTGGCAACCCTGAGAATCAGAATAGTCGGGACTCGAGTGATCCTCACCAGACAAAATTTCATTAAAATCGCCGCATATCATCCAGCGTTTTCCTTGACAGACACTAGAATTGTGCAACGCCTTAAGCTCTTCCCACAATTGTTTACGCTCCGTTGCAAAGTTCGAAGCGTAAACAAAAGAACAGACAATCTCCTCATTAGATCCCTCCTCCGAGACCAGGCATGTTATCATTTGCGCGCTCTTACCAACCACACTTAGCCGCATCTCCTTATTCCATATCACCCAAATTCTTCCTAAGCGGTTATGCTCATAATTTGAAATGGACGACCAGTCAGGAAAAATAGACGATACAATCTTCCTACTTCTACTTTCTTTCACTCTTGTTTCCGATATACATCCAAACTTTAATGAATTTCCCCACACCCAATCCTTTACAACTGAGTGCTTACTCCTTTTATTAAAGCCGCGTATGTTCCAGAAAAAACCTATCATTGAGGGGGGTTTTTTTTGTTATTCCGCTGACTCTTCCCCGTCGCCCTACCCCCATTGGTTGTAGGTGGTGACGCTGGAGGTCCAGGACAATATCTGTGCGCAGATTTAGCTGCTCGCTGTAGAGGGGCTCGAGCTAAATCAGCATTCTGCTCTGTTTTTGATTCCCCTTTATCTAGCTTCATCTCAGCAGTATCCATAACACTCTCCTGTACTTGCACCACCACCTGCTCAGTATCAGTAATTGCTTTCTCAACTCCTCGATCATTCACTTCCACCACTGATATCGTCTCAACTATTTCTCCCTCTTCCTCTAGTTCAGCTCCCTTGCCATCCTCTCCCTCCTCCAACAGTGCATTGAACCGTGACCCTGAGGAAATATCCTCACGCTGATCAGGTACAATAGCAGACTACGAGAGTAAGCCTTAGATGGTGTAATCCACTCTTTCTCAGGGATCTCCACATCTCTTTGTTCAACAGTTTCAGAGTTAGCATCCACCGGAGTTGCCCCCACTCCCTTTTCTTTAATACTCCTTTGATTCTTCATCTTTGTAACCGATGATAGCAGGGTGAACATGGTTTCCTTAACTGCAATATCGGTTACTCTATCCTTAGTAACAACTACAGCTGGCGTATTAATTCCTGCAGAGGTTGTAACCAAATTCTGCATCACGGATTCCCTTTGTAAAATCCTCCTAGGGCTTCCAGAAGTTTTGCAATCCCGATTCTCATGCCCCCATCCATCACATAACAGGCAACGAGGAGGTAGCCATGGAAACTCATACAAAATCTCCACCTTCACGCCCTCCAACTCGAACATATGCGATGATGGTAGCGGTTTCGTGAGGTCTACGTCAACTGCTATTCGCGCAATGTCAAACTCCTTCACCCATACTGTGTCTGGATGAAGCATCTTTGGGGTACCCACAGGGCTAGCTAAGAAGCTCAACCCTTTCCAATTATACATTTTGCGAGGCACGTTCTTCAAAATGATCCATAGAGGAATGGATTTCATAACTGGTTGAGCTTCCTCAGCCTTTGGACTCCACTTTGAGACTAGCATCGGAGTTCCCTTGATAGTCCACATTTTCCGTCGCAAAACTCTGTCTCTGACACTCTTGTCTGCAATTCGAAACTTCAGCGTATCATCATTAACCACATAAACGTCAACTTTGATTTGTTGTCCTCCCAGATTCCAAATCCTATTAACAGTCATGTGAATAGATCCTACGTGAGGAGCCTTTTTTAGAAATTTTCCAACTATGAAATCATCCCATAGGGGTGCTTCATTCAGTATTGCATCGGGGACGCGGAAGACGTTGACGCCGTCAATCTCCTCCTCCTCCACTTCGTATTTCTGCAAACTCTCCTTCTTCCTCACAACTTCTGTCCACTTTGTTTTGGGATTTTTGCCCTCTTCTTTTCCCTGATCAGTTGTTTCACAAATCACCCCCACTTTATTCTGAACGCTCACCTCCTGTGATCGGTTCTGAGAATTCCGATCATGCTGACTCTGTTCTTCCCTCGACAGTGGAAGGATTTCCATCACCTGAGAATTCTCCACTGCTGAATCAATCACCGCCATCAATCCATCCTTTTCCGGTGACGGAGGGACCGATTGTCCCTGCGCCGCCATAATTCTGCCGCCCTAATGTGGACAGAAAGTCGAAACCCTACAATCGCCTTTGCTATCGCCCTTTTTGCTGACGTGTCCAACAATCTAAATAACTTTGCATGTGTAGTTATTATAAGGTTTCTGTTAGCAATACTGTGGGTAATAAGATTTGTTTCTTACGAGAATCTTGTGCTGTTTTTTTTTTTTAAATGATTTTATATAGCACGAAGTCTTTGCATTTCATAATATAAGATTCGTCACATTTTTAGGTTTTTGTGAGTCAATTACGGTCTTAGATTCTGATTCGTTTGGCAGTTAGATATTAATATTATTATTGGGGATGCTTAATTGTTTTTATGATTTTCCATGCCTTGCCGTTGTTGATTTGAAGTTTGCATGACTTCTATATAGATAAAGGAATCATTTCAATATGATTTTGTTTATTTTCAGTCCATTCATATTGAAATTTACTTTCACCGAACACGGCATACATGTAAATGTTCTTAATACTGAAATCTGCTTATTATTTTTGTTTTTTTAAAGGATAAAATCTGCTTATTATTCAGTTGTAG